AATAAAATCAATAAAAAAAAAATTTTTTAAATTTATTCAAAAAAAAATTAATTATAACAAAACAAAGTAATAACTTTAAATACTTTTATTTGATACTTTTTTTTTTTTATAAAGTGTGGTAATTTCGTGATATATATTATATTGATACATACAGTATTTAATAAATTATACAAATATAATATTCAAAAAAAACAAAAAAATTTGAAAATTAATACAGTTACAAAAGCTATTACTCAACGAATATTAAATCAAGTGATATAAGATTTTATATGTATGTAGATTCGGATATATAGAATACTTTTACTTAATGCACAATAAGCAATATACTTTAACTAAAGTGATCAAATTATCCTGTGAAGTTAAATAAAAAAGGTCTACAATATTAATAAAGTTACAAAAACAAATATTACAACACTAATATTAATCCAATTGAGATTAAAATTTATATATAAATAGTATCATATCTGCTAAACAACTTTTACTTAGAAATGAAAAGTGATTGACTTTAACCAAAATGTTCAAATTATCCTGTGAAGTCAAAAAAGTGTGACTTATTTAGTAAATTTATAAAAAAATTTATTTTTACACGAATATTAATCCAATTGAGATAAATAAAATTAGATATAAATTGTATCAAACCTGTTGAACAACTTTCACTTAAAGATAAAAGGTAATTGACTTTGACCAAAGTGCTCAAATTATCCTGTGAAGTTAAAAAAAAAGGTTTATGTTATTAATAAAGTTAAAAAAATACATATTACAACACGAATATTAATCCAATCGAGATTAAATTTTATATACAAATAGTATCGAACCTGCTGAACAACTTTACTTAGAAGTGAAAGACAATTAACTTTAACTAAAGTCTCAAATTTCTTTGTGAAGTCAAAAAAGTGTAACTTATTTAGTAAAGTTACAAAAAAATTATTTCTACATGAATATTAATCCAGTCAATATAAAACATTAGATATAAATAGTATCGAATCTATTGAACATCTTTTACTTAGAGATAAAATGTGATTGACTTTGATCAAAGTGCTCAAATTTCGTTATGAAATCTCTGTATTAATGTTTATAAAAAAAGATATAAAAATTAAAATTTATCAAAAAAAAGTACATTTAATAAGATTTCTTACAAGTTCAAGTATTTAAGTTTAAAAAAATAAATTTTTTTTTTAAAGATTATGTTAAATAAAATAAAAGTGTTTTTTATTAAAAAAAAAAAAAAAGAAAATACACGAATAATACAATTGTAGATCGTTTATTTATGTAATGTAAAATAAAAATATATACTAACTAAAATTAAAAAAGACTAGATTAAAATCAGTCTAAACATTTTTTGTATTAAAAAAAAATATACATATTCTGGATAAATTCTAGACATTTTCATTGACATTTTCTAAACATTTCTTTTTTATAGGGAATACATATTCCGGACAAATTTTAATATATAATCTGGACATTTTCTGTATTAGAAAAATAGACAAATAATTTTAATACAAATTCCGAACATATTCCGTATTAGAAAAAAAGATTAAATTTCTTTCTGTATATATTCCAGATGTTTCTAAATGTTTGAATAAGTCTGAACAGCAAGCTTGATCATTTTTTAGGACAAATAATGGTTATTTTCCAGACATTCTCTAATATACCTGGATAAATTCAGAACATTTTCGATGATATTTTTTGGACATTTATTTTTTATAGGGAAAGCAAAAATACCTAAAACATTAGCTGATAGTTTAACATGAATGCATAGTACTATTATGGAGTTTGGAATAACAGCTCTTCAAGTACGTGAGCTAATTTAATTTCTCAAATTCACATTAAGCAGTCATAATATAGCTGTTTGTATAAATGCTATTATTATTTTAGGAGCTTTACGCATTTTTGTGAGACTAGGTAAAAAAAAGGAAATTTGTTAAAATAATCATATATATTTTCCAATTGTAATATAATATATAATATATATAATATTTTATTTATGTTGTAAATATAAAAACATTTGTTTAAGACTTAAATCATATATAACTAGTCACAATTAATAGTGAATTTGAGAAAGTAGCTAACAAAGCATCACTGAAAGCATTAAAAACAAGCGTGTGTATCTTCAAACCTAGAATAATTTTTATATATATTGATTTTTTATTTAACTTATTTATATATTTAAAAAGGTCAATGTTATAAGCAAGAATGGTAGTAGAAAAGATTCTTTAGAAGAATTGTTTCCTAAAGTTGATGTTAGCATACAATTTACTAGTAAAATAATGGCTGTAAATTTCTTTAATTAGTAATTATATTATCCTTGCTTAATGGTAAATAGTTGATATAATAATATATATTGTTAAGAATGCAACAATAATAAATGAAAAGTTTAAAAGAATACACTCAATCAAGCTCTTGCTATTATTGATGCTAATAAGAAAATTAAACTGAGCTTAGATTTGTTAATATATAAATATACTTTAAAAAAAGCAAAATAATCTTATTTACAATATTTGTATTATAGGTAACTTCATTCCTATTCTAAAAGAGAGGCTATCAGATAGTAATAAAAACTTGTAAATGATAGTTTTGGATATAACTTCTAAGCTTGCTACTGCAATGGAAAAGTCATTTGACAGATATATTAAAATATTAGTTGCACCAATCATTGCTGTTCTTACAAATAAAATAGAAACAGTTTGTGATAGTGCTATTGGAACTTTGGATGCTTTAGTAAATGCTTGTGGGTTCAATCCTTTAATTGGCTCATTTTCAACAAGTCTTGCAACAGATAATCCTTTATTAAGAAAAGATCTATTGAATTGGCTCTCTGAATGTTTTAAAGAATATGTAGAGTGTGATAAAAAGAATGCATTATCAGATTTGTTACCCATGGTTCAACCAATTCTATTTACTTATAAGATCAGAATAGTAAAGTTAAAAAAGTCATATAGGCTTATTTTGGAGTTATAATAAAAAGTATCAGATACAATCACGTGGTAGTAAGATTTGGTGATTTGAAAGGTGTAGTAAAACAGACAATTATGCTGATGATAGAAGCCATTTGACCAACAAGTCCTAATAGTCCTGCTGCGAGGAGGGTTGTTAAAAAGGCAGGCCTAAAATCTCAACTTGTTACACCATTAGGCAAGGATAAAGATGATGAAATAGATGATGATGTATCAGCAAAATTATCACTAGGATTATTATTAGCCAATTCAATATTTAATAAACTTGCTGTATTACTAGCAAGTCTATTATCTACGACAAATTCTAATGTATCGAGTATACCTACAAGTAGATCACCCTCTTTATTAGCACAACTTAGTGATATTAGTAAGATCCAGTCATCTTCTTAAAGAGGTGACATTCCAGGATTACTATTTCTGTCAAAATGTTCTAGTATGAATGAAGGTTTTATGGATGAGAATGAAACTAAAAAAGATATGTCAATTGATAATTCAAAACATTATTTATCAGATAATAATAAAATAAATGATGTTCTGCATTATCTGAAATTACCTCTTGCTATACAGCAAATATCTAGCAGTTCTATTTTAATAGTTGAGATTATCATATGAGTACAGAGTTTCAACAAAGTATAGAGGCATTGAAAGAGTTAGACAAATATTTGAACACTTTTCCCGAATCTATTATTCCTGATATAGATAGACTCGTAAATGTTTTAGCATTTCAAGTTTGAATTTCTTATATAGCTTCAACAATAATCACAGAGTTTAATTCGATTTTGTAATCCTCTTATTAACGCTTTAGTACTATTATTTTCAAATAAGAATTTGGCATTAGCTGTGTCTCAAGATTTACTTAACTATTTATTATTTGAGTTAGCATATTATTTGTTAAATCCTAATCTTTTAGTAGTGGATAGTGGTTAACAGTTATTAAAAGTGCTTAATATCTCAATAGTTAAGATATTTGAAAATAATAATTGTAACAGAACGTATAGGTGAGAGATATAATTTTTCTATTTTAAAAAAAAATTATTACTCATTAATATTTACTCATTATTATTTCTTCATTTTTTTTTTAGTTCACTAATTTTAATATTAGAAAAATCATCATATAATTTGTGTGAGGTTGATGTGGCTACTGCATTTACATAAACAAAGCTTATTGAACTAATTATGAAATGTTTATGAAAACTAGTAAAGACACTTCAAGATAATTTGAAGGCTGGTATCCTTTTACTGAATCAATTATTACATGATATCAATAGTTTCTTTTAGTAACGCTACCAGTTGAATGGAAAAGATGAGCAGCAGAAAAGGTGTTACTAGGTAAAATTCCTTTACATACAATTAAAACATTATTACTTGAATTAGTAACAGGTTTCTTGGTGATAATATATACAAAAATTTAGACCTTATTGAAGATCCTTAAAATAGTTATATTTATCCTTATTTACATTATATAATCGAGACTACTAAGAAGGATAAGCTAGCTAGGAATTCAACAATTGCTTACAATGATATATTAGATTATTCATCTTCAATATCATCAGGCTGATCTTTTAGTTCATTTAGTTCATCCAGTTCTGACTCAACATATGCCTCTACAGATACTGCAAAAACTTCACCTTTGAATGAAGCTTCGATTAGGAATAATCCATTGGCAAGAAATTTTCCATCAGCTAGAAGTTGTCTACCAACCAGAAGTTCTCCTATACCTGAAATTCCTGGTCATATTGAAATAATGTCAAATGCTTTAGATCCAATAAGCCTAGCATTATCACACATTCCAATGACTTTGAAATTCACTACATCAATTGGTAGTGCATGTTCATTAGATTTAGATGAAGAAATGAATACATGGTTAACTCAAATTTTCTTTAAAATTGAAACGAGAGAAAATACAAAAAAGGTAATTATAAGGAAACAATTAAATAAATAATCAATAGAATTAAATAATCATTGATCTAAATTATTTGAAATTTTGTTTATTCAGGGTATATATGAATTATATGAATTTCAAAAATAACACCCTGATATGAAAGGCAAGATAGCAATACATTTATCCATATTTCCAAAGTTATATTCACTGTGGACTTGCCAACATTGCTATAGAAGAAGAGGAAAAGGATAAAGAAAGTGCTAATCTATGTATGTTATTTTAATTATAATAAAATTTTGTTCTATTTTGGATTTAGTTTAATAATATTTTTCATGATTTTAGTTCCTCAAAATTCAAACAATTATGATAATATGGAGGATAATATAGGTAAGATTATAATCATATATTTTATATTAATTTGATTGAAATATTCAAATTAAAATTTTATTAACTTTAAATAGATGAACAATGTAAAATAAAACTTTTGAGGCTACAACAAATGTTTGGTTATCCAGTTGAGCAAACCATAAATGAATGAATATATGGCAAATGCAATTAAAAACGCGCGCCAAAGGCCAATCTTTCAAAAGTCATCGTAACCAAGAAATTAATAATCAATTGGTTGACTTAATCTAAATGTTATTGAATCAATAACTGCACTGCACGATTTGTATATACCTGTAACAATATAAAATGTAAAATTTTTTTTAAATATTTTTTTTTTTTTTTGCTCAATTAAAAAAATCGCTATATATAAAATTGAAGTATGAAACCTGTAAGATTTTGTTTAATAAGGCTTATGATATAAATACAAATAAAGCTTGACATTTTATAAGCATGATATATAACCCGGTCAGAATTATTAAACATGAATTTAAAATTTGTACCTAGCTGAAATACAGAAAATTACGAAGAATTATGAATATTACCTGCAAATATTGCCAATTACAACATTAATTATACTCTCACCCATTAATAAGAATACGCGATTTTTGATCAATGTGTATAGGCGGAGTTGTTTCAGAATTCGATGTGACATTTCCACTTAGTATTTTGGTGTGATCAAAAACTAAAAGTTGAAATTTATCCGTCCGATTTTTTTTTTTTTTTATAATATAAATCGTGTATATGGCAATTATTAATATTTATTAGAAATTGATTAATTATATTAAAAATAGTTTATTTAGATCAATTGTTTTTCTACCTTTACTTTTTTTATTTATTGTTGTAAAAGAAGCGAAAATCATAATTGTGGTTTGTATTAATTGAATGTTTATTGAGAAAAGGATTGAAAAAAGAAATAGTTTCGCGGTGAAAAAAAAAATAATTGTGATTCCGGGCTCCTGCGGAGCCCAGAATTAACCAATTAAGTTTGACTTTCCGAGTAAATCTGTTATTCTTTTACAGATCTCTCATTATAAAAAATTAACGATAAATTTTCGAAGATCAGTTAATTTCTGTATTACAGCAATACATTTAATGTTGAGTATAATTATTTTCATTATGGGCGATGAGCAAAATTTTCTAAATATTTTTAGAATGTCAAATGATCAACGAATTTACTAATTCTAATACGTAATATCCTGTGTGACATAGTAAATCATATAAATTATATACAGTCAACTCTTGATATAGCGAACTCTTGATATAACGAATTTTTTGAACAAATAAAATCTTCACTATAACCTTATAGTGAAGTTGAGGTCTAGGACATAGAGTTCATTATAACAAGAGTTGACTGTAGGTGGCCAACATGTCGAACCTACAGATAGAGTCACAGTATATAATAACAAAAAAATAAATCAAAGTTATACGCAGATATCATCCGATATAGGGGATAGAAACAGTCTATTTATTATTCAAAGTAAGGTAGCCTCTGATATGAATAGTATTAATTATCTTTGCTGGATCTAACCTTAATTATTAATAAAGGAAATGCAGGCGAATGCACAGGATCATCCGCGCGAGATTCTATTGATGATATTTGCCAGATAATCGAAGGTGGCAAGAAAAGTCAAGAATATGTACAATCAAAATCTAAGATCTGATTTGCATTATAAAGTTTTCACTCATCTTTATTATGATGCGTATAATTTAAATAACAAGGGTAATGATAACGTGAAAAATCGCCTCATTTTAGTTACTAATAAACTTGGTAATATTACTTTCGATAAAGTAGGGAAAATGGTTTCTTATAGAAATATTCGGAATAGTATTGTACACAAAAAAAAGTGGGATTCAGTGAGAAAGGATAGGGAAATATACGAAGCAGCTCTTAAACGCATCGACGTAGCAACGGATGCCAACGCATACATCATATTGCACAAAAAGAATTATTAATTTCAGGACTTAAAAAATGTGCTAATTATTTGTATAATTAATTCAAGAAACAAATTACAGTCAACCCTCTCTAAATGCACACACTATATATTTTCTCTCTAAATGCACGCTCTTGTTCAGTCCCAAGCATATAGAATTCATATAAAAATTTTCTCTTTAAATGCACACCCTCTTTAAATGCACATTTTTTTAAAATTTTCACTATGGTCCCGAGGGGGTGCATTTAGAGAGGGTTGACTGTACCTTTAATTAACGCAGTATACCTAGCATACGATAGAATGTTTTATTATTATCATTACAATTATCATCTATTAGAAAAGTTGTGCTGAAATAATTTGTTTTTTTTTGTAATTAAGTAATTAATTAAAACAAATATGAGCTATATAATCATATAATTTAATTGTTATTTTTACATCTTCAACAACCTCACGCAAAAAGATTTGTTTATTGTGCTAATTATGTGACTCGATTATTTTTTTTGCTTCTTCAGCGAACTCTTCCCCCTTATGCGATTCGTAATATATCTTCCATGCAAGTTCATCGTAATTTACACGAGGATCATATTTTGATGGAGGAGGCAAATAATCGTTAGGGTCTCGTTTTCATCTGTTTTGGTTTTAATAAAGAAAGAAAATATGTTAAGACGAGCCAAGAAAATTTTGAAACCATTCATTATATGTATTTACTATTATACAAAGGAAAATAATAGTATTTCAAATTTCTTACCAGTATGCTTTGGTTGCGAAGGACAAAAGAAACGACGATAAATAAATATTCCCAGAAATGTCAAAGCAATTAATGATTCTAACTTCATTGATTTCTGCATTTCAATTTACTAAGTATATGTGACCCGGCAAATAAAATCCGGCTACGGGCTGTTCTTAAAGCAGCGTTCTGTCACGTGATTTGATAGATTGTTTGGGTCCACCAAAAGAAAGGAACACATTACCCGATGTCCGCCCGCTCAATAATTGGCTTTTGTAATTGCTAAAAGTCTAGATAAAGCAAATACCAATGTGAATTTGTTTTAGTTAAGATCGTTCAGGACTTAACAACGGTCCCCGTTCCCTAATATTAATAAATTACGCAAGGTTCATTTAGGCTTAGGTGAATTAAACGACCAAGAAAACCAAATTGGAAATATCAAGAGTCAAAATGATGTAATTAACGGTAAACTCAACGGCACTATGCCACGAGAAACTAAATTCTTGCATAAAGTTTTTAAAGCATACATATTTTACTTGTGAAAAGTCGATTTTATTAGTAAAAAAAAAAGTATGTTTGTCGCTAGGTAACAGAATCCGTTGTGACTGAAGCAAAAAAATCCGCATAGTTCTACTAAAATAGACATGGAATATAAATTACCAATTTTACAGAATCAGTATTGCTGGGATTCAAATCTTATAATAATCATCTTAAAATATTGTCAATTTACTTATTAAAAGAAAGTCCTACAGGATATCACAAAGTAAGCATTTTTTGTTTATGTCCTTCGCTAGTTTTGCTGAAATGACTTTTCTCGACTAATAGTGGTAAATTTTTTCCGATAAGATATAATTTGTTCTTATACTCATTCATTACTTTTGATTTGTTATATTTCAAAATTTGTCTAGCGAAAATAAATCCCGTCATATAAGCGTCAAAATGCGCCGAATGATATGTATCAAATTGATCTGGTTTTGTTGAAGGTAAAAGAGTTGGTGGTTCTGAGGCTGATACATGTTCTGTTGATTGATAAATTTCTCTTGAAGTTTGGGGTTGACTTTGATTTAATTTACGTTTTTTACGTTTCTTTCCAGCCTCTTTTGCTTGTTCATCCAATATAAAGTCTAAATCATGTGAATTGCCACATCTCATTCTTAGTTTACAAAATCCATGAAGCTATATAATGAACGTAATATTTATAAGTTGCATAAGTGATATACCAATAATAATGATCAAGTAAATTTTTTATTCCTTACGGCGTATTGTTCACAATAACTTTTGTCCCTTGATCGTTTTGAAGATAGCTCCTCCATTTTAGAAATTTCGAAATGATTTGATTGCAAAAACTGATCATTGTGATTATTCTTGATGCAATTCTGAATTCGTAAGAATAAATATTCTTTGCTGTTAGAAAATTTATTATCAACTTGCTCCCTTTCATATCTAAAAAAATTCATTGATAGTGAATAATTTTTTTGATATAAATAAATACCATAATAGACAAAAAACTTACTTGCGAAATAAATATGCTAAAAAACTACTTTTTTCCCTTGTAACAAAATCTGCGATGTATTTTGTATCTACAATACCTCCTGAAAACATTTCGGATAAATCTGCTATAAAACTATTTAATTTATCAGGTAAATCTGCATAAAATGAATAATAAAGATATATCAAATCGAGGAATCCATTATGAACAACAATCGGCACATTTCTGGTTAGAATGTATGAGAATAAAGATCGCATAATAGAATTTGGATCGTTGGAATTGGAGTTTGACTTAAAGGCGAATAATTTTTATTTAGTTAATAAAAATACTTTTCAAAAATAATTCAAAATAAGGTTTTAGATTAGAACCTTATCACATCCTGGAGTGTATGGAATCCCTTTACGAATCTGTTTGTTGAAATCAAATCCACTATCAGATAAAAACTGTAAGCTTTGCGGACTTATGATATGATCAACCTAGAAAGAAAATGATTTTGGTTAATAAATATAATATATAATAAATCATTGAAAATTATTAAATTATTTACTTGGCTTAACAAATTGAAATTGAAGTTGTATACGTTATATTGCTTTTCCAAGGATTCAGAACCTCCTTGTATATTGTTTTTAGCTTCTTCAAATATCGTAAGACCAAAAGCGACTAAAGCATGTGTTTTAACAACTTTACATAAATTAACATAACGCTCTTCAATATTACTATATTATTAAAGAAGTATAAATACTTCCAAATTAATAAAAGATTTTAATAGTTATACAAACAGACCAAAAAAAAAAAAAAAGATAAGGAAAGAAAAGCATTCTAGAAAGATTTAACACTTACGAAGCTCTAGTGTTAACTTCTTTTCCGCCTAAGCCAGTAAACTCGGTATCCAAGGCTATGAAACTAGCACAATTTAATGTTTGTTTAATGACGTGCTGGAGGGAAGTCACATTTTCTTTTGTTATATCCTAAAAAAAAAAAAAACACGCATATATAAATTCTGTTTTATTCGAGGTTTTTTTAAGACACAACTTACAATGAAAGGTGGAGGTTTTGGAGGCATGTTTGAGTAGGAAAAAAAAAACATTTGGGATACATCAGTAAAATAGATAAAAAGCTGACCAATAAATTGACACAAATTTTACTGCGGAACATGAAAAGAATTGCGTAATTAAGTAAAATGTAATTTGTGGTTGTATAATGTGTTTATTTCATGAAAAATTGTTTTATGTTGCAATAATATTTATTTTCGCACTCATTAAAATAAAAAGTTTTGGTCTACATAATTTTTTGTGTAAATATATAAATCTTATTGACGAAATTCTTTAAGGAGATTCTTCTGATACCGTGAGACATGCTTGAGCTATACGATCAAGATCACGTCGCCCATCTTGAGTGATTCTACGTCCACTAAAATGATTAAAATTATGTCAAATTAGTTTATTCTTAAATTAATTTAATCAATTTACAAAAGTAATTAATACTCACCCTTGTTTAGGGTCTTTCTCCAAGACATTGATCTTTTCTAAAGCTTGGAGAACCTTACGAGCAACAGATCCAGATGATTTGGAATGATGGGAGGGACGAGTTCCTCTCCTTTTACGACCTCCATGAATTTTTTTCAATGCACCGATCCCAACTCCATTACGAAGATAAACGTGCCTTGCAACAGCGGCTATAAGAAATGATGAAAAAAAAAAATTTTTTTTTTTATTAAGATTTAGGATCATCGTTATTTAAAAAAAAAGGATTACATACCAGCTCTAACGTAAAACCAATCTGGATCATAGGGTGCTAATTCTTTATATGGTCCAGTTTTTACAAGGTCGACCCATTTTGGTATTTCTAATTTACCAGTACGCTTCAAATAAGCAGCATAGGCTTTAACGAAGTCATGGGGGTTTACGTCCTTTACAGTTACGCCACCTGCCATCTATTACTAGCCCCAAAAAAATACAAAAAAGTCTGTTATTATGACAAAAGCGATACCATTACTATATTCTCATAAAAACGCACCTTTTCAATTAAAGGTGGATTGATAAAAAGAAGGTTCAAAATTATTTAAAGCTTGTTTGAATTTTATATGGATCATCACGATTTGTAGGCCAATTAATTTTCACGAGATGAAAATTTTTTTTTGATTAAATCATGTGATACAACTTCATTGCTATGGATCTAAATAATGCTGTTCTTAATACAAAAATTATGATATCAATAGAAAAACCTATCATAAAATATTTTAAGTATATCTTATATATTATTCTACTTAAAAGAAGTATAAAATATATATTAACATTATTTAAACCAAAGTTTTTTTAATAGATTATAGCTTAAAAGACATAAATCTAAAGTTTCAAATTTTAGAATCCTAATATTATTATAAAAATATAACATTTATAAAAAAGAGCAAATAGATTTAGAAAAAAGTTAATAATATAATTTAATACTTTAATATCTTATTCTCTTAATTTTAGAATAAATAATTGCAATTATTAATTTTTAATATTTAAATCATTAGTAAAAGTGATAATATAAGGAACTAAAAATTTGCTATATTTAAAAATAAGCTTTATCAGATATTTAATAAAACGTGAGAAATTAAAAATATTATAAATTAAAATATAATTAATAACTTTTGATCTAATCAATAAAATATTATCATTAGTATCATCTTATTAAAAGCTTTTTATAAATATTACTTTATTAGAATAATAGCTGTTAAAATATTAGAATATAATAATTTCTTAACTACCAAATGACTAAAACTTTAAAAAGATAAAATAATAGTAATGTTAATAATATTATTAATAAAGTTATATAAATAGATTTATTTAATTTAACTTATTAATAAAATTTATATATTTCTATAATTTCTTTAATTTTACTTTATCTTTCAATAATTTTATATAAATAAATTTATATTATTTTAATAATTAATTACGAGATTTTATTAAAAATTCTTATTTAATATTTTTAAACAACTTGTAGTAAATTCTAAAATGTATATATCATTACAATTAAAAAAATAAAGCTTTCTTGCAACAAATTATTAAATATTAGGATTAATTGGTTCTTTGTTAATAAACAATACTGATACATATGGCTGTATGACGCAGTGAAATGGTCAAAAATCAGAATATTTATAAAATGCATGAATCGAAGCGAAGTACTTTTCCATCCAAATCACGGTTTTATAAAAAAAATTATTTCAATATAAAATTTACCCATCTTTATTACGATCATGTGACGCCCATTTTGTCTTTTTTTGCGGAGATTTATTGGGTACACATTATATAGGTCATATAAAATTCTAACAGTCCCGATTATCCGTAAGGTATAACTGAGCCATCCCTCTTTCGAGAACAAAAAATTTACATGAACATTTTTCAATTTGGTTTTTAATTTTCATCTTTCGTTTAAATTTTATAATCTTTCATCTAAATCATGTAAATTTTAATCACTAGTTAACAAATAAATATCTTAAGTTTATATATTTTTTCCTTACATAATTATCTCTAAACATTGATTTTATTAATTTATTAAGAGAAATATGATAATTTATTCATCAAATGGGTATTCGAATGGTTCTGGAGGCGAAGCTTCTTCTTCTTCAGAAACTTCGGTTGCTAAAAACAAAAGATAATCAATACCTATTCAATCAACTATATTTCGAAATTAATTCAACTTACCAACAGGTGCGCTTGGTAAAATTAGTTCTTCTGGTTCGTCAGGTGAATTATCTATCATCATTAAAATCCCGCCAACAATACCCTACAAATTACAAAAAAAATTTTTTAGCTGACGGTAACTAATTAATAATTACAAAATAATAATGACATACTTGTTTCACAGGAACGTAGCGTGATTTGTCTTTAAATGTAATGTATTGCAACTGTTCTGGCAAAACCCGTGCCATGTTTTCAAGGATCTCGAATGATTCTTCTTTTTTCTTTTTGCCTTTCTTATCCTCCTAAAATAGGAATTTGTAAATAAAGAAATCATGAAGTGAAATTGATTAAAGATTCAGTCAAACCTTTTCTTCCTCCTTTTTGATATTTTCTGCAATTTCCCTTTTTTCATCCTATGGTATGATCATGTTAATTTATTCAGGTAATACATAAAAAACACTATATTTACAATTTTTTATTACTGTGGTATACCATATCCATTGCATCCACATCTATTCCTTTATCCTTTTCGGATTTTTTGGCCCTTGCCTTCGCTTTCGCAGTCGTTGAAAGTACGGCAGTCGCTACCTTTAAACAAATTAAATGTTATTAACGTATATTGATATGTTAAAGTATATCAAGATTAAAAAAGAGAAGAATAATACCTTTTCTACGACACTAGTAGTTGGTGGTTTTGTAGTAGCAGGATATGCAAAAAGCGATGGTTTCGCATTGGATTTAAATTCAAACTTTGGAATCTTTTATAATTTAAAATCGTAATAAATTTAGTAATTTATCAATAGAACTACATAAATTTAATGATTCTATAATAACCTTTAAATCTTTATTTAAACCAATGATAGCTGTAGGAGTAAAGGCTAAACTTAAGAAATGGGTTAATGGAAACCAATACCAAAATTGTGTGAATACAGCCGTTCCTACAATAGCTGGCATATTTAAATGACCGGATTTTGATTGCAGAGAAATCGTTACATTACGACCACCTATATCAATTAAGTATAGGTGTTAAAAAAAATATCAAAATCGCAACGATATAAGATCGAAATCAAAATAAATACCTGCATCAATAATGCCTTGGCCAAGAACCGCTCCAAATTTTGCCATTGCATCTTCATGTTTATCATTTATGATTTTTTCATATAATTTACGGGTCGGTGATACCTTTTCGATATTTAAACGTGAATAAGTATTTTTACTATAATAATTCGAGAATATTAAATCATTTAATTCCAACCTTAGGATTGATAGAATCATTTTGTTGTATTAAAATCATAGCTAAAGAGATGAAGGCACCCTGCCGAACATAATCAACAGGATCCTTTGTCATTGGCTCCAAGAGTTCAATTGCTTCCTATTAAATTGGGATTACAACCTTATTTACAAATAAAATATGAAAGTATTGAACAATGTTTTAATATAAAAAAGTGAAAAGACAAACCATTAAACCAGTTCCAGCGCATGAAATTCCCAAAGCTAATGTGGCACCATATCTTACATTAGGGTTATAACTCTCAGATAATAATTGAACAATTCGGGGAACTTGTTTGGGAGTTCTAAATAGAATGAATCCAAGTGCTGTGACAGCAGCACGACGCACGTCATCATTGACATCACTTACAGCAACATGTAACAATCGCCGAATGGCTTTGTTATTTCCAGTGCCGCAGTAAGCCATTGCAACCGTATAGATACCACCATATCGTAAAATTGGATCCTAGAAAGTTTTTTTTTTTTTAAAAAAAAAAATTAAAGATATGATAAAGAAATATAGCGATTGCAAAAGCTTTACTTACTTTATCTAGAGTAAGTAGCTCAACCAAAACATCAGCAGCTTCTTCTTTACCATACATGATAAGCGAAATTCCAATTGCCAAACCTCTAATAATCTTTTCGTGTTGAGTATCATGAGCGTACTGCAACATTTCATCGATCGCCTTTTTCGAAGCGGTTCCAAGCATAACAAGTCCCATAGCCAAACCAGCAGCTTCCCCTGCAACAGCACTATCGCTAAAAAGAATCACCTTAAGTTCCTCATAAATGCCTTATTAAAATGATATTATCAAATTGCGTTAATAATTATTATTTATTATAAAAGAAACAAAAATAAAGCAAGAATATATTATACATACCATTATCGCCCGTTGCCATTCCTGCGGCTGCAAGCCCTAAACACGCTCCATGTTGGAGAACTTCGGTTGGGGTATTTTTTAAAGCATTTCTCAAATAATCAAGTACACCAGCACCATGATTTGCGTGAATAAGTCCTAGAGCAAACAAAGAACCACCTTCCGAATAGGAACTTCCACTTACTCCGTCTTGGGGCAAATAAGGATGTAGTAAAGAAAGACCTTGAGAAAGGTGCCCCTATTATAAATATTTCAATCAAATAAAATTATATAATGGCCCTTTTTTTTAAAAAATTATTGTTCATAAAATTACGAACTTACCTTGTGTATTACACCCAAGGCAGCTGTTGCACTAAATTTGGACCAATTTGTAGCACGTGAGAGCCACTCCAAATTCTGTCGAAGAAACTCGTCGCTTGTTGTTCCGGCGTGCATAAATGCATTTGCAAACGTGACTGCTGAATGATATACCGAATTTCGGGACTCAAGCGCACTCTATTATAAATGTATAAATATTAATTAGACACCAAAAAAGTAAATAAAGACAAAGGATAATAAAATAAATACTTTTGTATTTTTAAGTATGAGCAAATCTGTATGATTATTTCGATATAAAAATTCAAGGTGTAATTTGATTGACTCTTCCCCTGAAAGTATACGTCTGATTTTCACGTATTTCTCATCTGTTGGACTTATAGACTTAGAAATTACCAATTTAAATTATTATTTTATAAAAGTAAGTATAATATGATAAAAAATAATTCAAAAGATAAATCATAGTAATATAATTACATATTCCTGATCATCAGTTTCCATTGCTTCAATGTCTGGCTTTTCATGAATGCTAGTATTGGCGGCTGGTAAATCTGATACAACTTTTTGGAGAAATTCTTGCGTAGCATTATCTTCGAGGTCGAAAGCGATTTGATACGCCATTAACAAGTAATACTATATATTATTAAGAAACATATTGGTTACCTTAGAAAAATATTATAATTAATTATTATGTTCAAAATATTATATGTAATACCTCATCCCCTTTTGTAACAAGATCTTTTAACAATTTAGCTGCTTCGATGGGATTATTTAAATGAACAAAACATTGACTGATAGAAACATAATCCGGATTCTCAAGATTTTGGTATAATTTCACTAATAAACGTAAAACCTTTAAATCAAAGAATTATTTATTTTAAAACTATTATGACATGGAAAACTAAAAAAATTGTTTTTAATTGTATATTGATAATACCTCATTCCTAAAATCTAAATTTAGTACTAATGTCATGCTCACTTCCAATACATAAGCCAAGAGCTCTGGGGCAGGACCTCGGGATATTGCTTGTTCAATAATATCAGAACGACAAGCTTCTAAAGCAATTCCAATTGCCTACATTACCATAATCAACAAAAAAGTAATTATAGGAATATACAATAACAAAAATTAAAAGTTAAAAATAATTAAAACTAAGACATTAAAATAACATAAATTTTAAAATAAATACTTGTTCAAATTCACCGTCATCATAACACCTTTGAAACATACGCTCAACTACATCTTGTAAACGTGGATCGATTTGGACATCGCTAGTATGGTCTTCATATTTTTTCACGCGTAAAGAAATATACTTATCTATACATTTAGCTAAAAGTTCAGTTTAAAATAATGTACCAATTTCGTTTCAATAAATATGAATGTAAATAATTGATTGATTTGGTTAATTCATAATAATTTCAAAATATAAATTAGAAACATTTAACATTACATATAATAGTCTCAACGTATTCTGATTTACAAGACGCGTCAAATAACTCTCCTGCTCCTAATGCAAATGACAAAGAATCATCAAATTCTCCGAGATGATAATAAACCTAGAATTTATTTTTATAAATTAACGATATCGTCTAAAATTATTTATAGAAACACACCACAAATTACTAACTTTAGATGCCACAAGAGCAGACAATTGTCTTTGAGGAAAATATTCATCCTCATAAAGAATTTCACTAATTTAAGATAAAAGAGGCTTAGTATGTGAATTTATTTTTTCTATTATGATTGCTCATACTTCGGATTAAAGATGCATCGATGAGAATCAAACAGCGTAAAGCAAATAAAATCATGCAAAATGCTCAGAAGTACACGCTTGAAACCATAAAAGGTTTCAGAAGACGCTTACATTTTAGAGACAGCGTCAGAAATTTCGGTCCAGAATTGATCAACAAGAGGATTTAACTTTTGAAGTGCGTAAATTTTAAGTTCTTCTTCTGACTCGTCAAGTAATGCAATAAGTCCACCTTTTTGAATTCAAGTATTAAAAAATAATTGAAAGTCAACAAAAAAGATTTAACATAGATTCGACAAAGATTAGTTTTAATGACTATACTATGCCTGCAGAAGTTAATCCAACCATCACGATCTAAGACACAATATATTAGATATGTTGTCGAAACAAAAAAAAAAAAATGTCCGAATTTTTATATAAAGGAATTGTTACACGAGTTGCGTAAGCACCCCATCAAAATAAGCCCAAATTTTATGAATTTTTATCATAATTTACATATCTAACGCTAATTATCATTGTCTATATTAATATTTCAAATTTTTTCTCTTCTTTTTCATTATCATTATATAGCTTATAAAATAAAATATTTTTTGATAGTTTTTTTTTACTAATTTAATAAACAAAATTTTATAGAACTTTTTAATTAAAACTATTATAAAATCTCAAATTTAAGCACTTTCTTTTGCAATCATATTATAGATAAAATTAGTAAAGGTGTTTAACTTTCTTGATTTTATTAATATATTGTATACTGTAAATTTTAAAATTATATTTTTTATTTCAGTTTTTTTTAATTAAGGGATAATTTTTTTTTTTTATTTTTTATTTTTTAAAAAAAAAAAAATTTTAACAAACTTAAATAAATAAACTAAATATCAATATTTGTTAAATTTTGAAACTTTAAATCTTTTTTTCTTTTCTTAATTCTTTTGAACAAATTTTGAATTCAGTTAGTTTCTTTTTATTCTTAATAACTTTAATTTTTTCATTCTTAATTTGTTAAATACTATTAATAAGAAGTAAAGAATATAGTAAATTATTTATTCTTTTATTTGTTTTAATTAACCCTTCTTACTTTTCTAAATTAATAATAATTTGAAATTAGTACTAAGATTACTTTAAAACAGAAAATATGTGAGTTAAAAAATGTTTTAACATTTTTTTTTGTAAGATTTACTTAATTTTATAATATTATCATAAACTTTTTTATTTCTTTGGTATTTATAATGTTAATGTTTATATAATGCTCTGAACAGTTCAATTCAGTCTGAATTATAGGCCAATCTAAAACTAAACTGAAATTTCAGTTTAGTTTAGTTCAGATTATTAATCTTAAAAATGCCAATCTAAAACTGAACTGAATAATAAATCAGAAAAAATCTGAATTGAATTAAAAATTTCAGATTAATCTAAAATTTCAGATGATTTATTTTAAATAAATGATAAGAAAATAGTTTGATTAAAATGATAATACGATTGTTTCAAATAAATGATAAGAAAATTGTTTGTTTAAAATGATTATATCAATCGTTTCAGATAAATGATAAGAAAATTGTTCATTTAAAATGATAATAATAATGTTTAGACAAATAATAAGAAAATCGTTTATTTAGAATAATAAAAGAATTGTTCATTTGAAATGATAATAACATTTTAAATGAACAATAAGAAATTGTTTCAAAAGAACGATAAAGAAATCGTTTGATTAGAATGATTAAATTATCATTTCAAATAAACAATAAGAAAATTGTTCATTTAGAATGATAAAAATATCATTCTAGACGAACAATAAGAAAACTATTTATTTGAAATGATAATAATATCATTTATTTAGAATGATAATAATGTTCTAAATGAACAATAATAATATCTTTTATTTGGAATGATAATAATATTCTAAACAAACGATAAAAAATTATTCATTTAGAATAATTAAAATTATCATTCTAAACAAACGATAAAAAAATCAGTTATTTAAAATGATTAAAATTATCATTTTGAATGAATAATAGAAATCGTTTAATTAAAACGATTAAATTACCGTATAGTCCCGAAAATAAGCACCCTGTGACACGCTCCTTTTATAGTAATTTATTTATTTGTCACATGGAATTT